TAGGATCAGAAAGTAGAAATGTATATTTAACTCACTGAGGCAAAGGGTGTGGATAGAGGTGTTTTCCATTTTTTAAAGTCAGGAGCATTGTGTGTGGGTCAGTGTGTGTGTATATGTGTCTGTGGGTGCATAGATAAACCTAATTAATGTGTTTACGTATCTCTCCTTTTAGTTTAATTTATTGTATGCTTATGATTAGTACTACTAACTGATATCATATTTCCTCAACACTACTCCAGTTACACTCCTCATGCCAACTCTTCTCTCAATGAGTTAAGACTGCCACTTTCTTTGATTTTTTTCTGGCTTTAAGTCCCAGCCAAATTTAATTTGCCCTTTTTCAATTGATGCATTCTGCTAAAAAACCTTAGATTGCACGGAATAAATTATTTAAAATGAACATTTGCAAACAATAAGTTGAAATAAAAATGTGTTCTTTGAAAAACAGGACATACAAGTCATTAGAGATTTTTAAAAGATTATTTATAAAATTAATGTGAAAAATACATTGTCTATTAAGTATGTCTCCAACTTTGATAGGGCTCAGATTTATGCAGCCCCACTAGCCATGTTAATTTTATTTCATTTTTTTTATTTACTTTCTTTCTTTGTTTTTTCTTCCTTCTTTATTATGAATACTATCAACAAAATGTATTTTGAGGCATCAAGTTAAAACAATTTAGGATTCAGCTGAAGTCAAGAATGAAAATGACGCACTACAAAAGATTTTTGTTGTGCTGAAATAGATATAATACTTGAATGGTGACTCACTCAGGCTGAGCCTGACAAGCCTGACACCCGAAGTTGCAAATGATATATATATATATAATGGAAGTATAGATATCATTATATAATGGATATATTTATATATATTTGTTTATATTCAGATATGTATATATATTTGCTTATATATATATATATATATTATATATATATATATATATATATATCATAATGAAGGTATAGATATGAATTATGTATTAAAATGGATGTGTGTACATATGTATATATTTTGTATGACAAATTGGAAAAGATTTCTGTGACACGTTTCATCGGTTAGGACTTTATGACATGACTCTGATGAAGTACTGAAAGATGAAATGTGTCACAAAATCTTTTTTCCAATTTGTTATACAATTCTCTCAATAGTGTTTTTAATATATAAAATATATATCATTATTTTATAATATATATATATATATATATATATATATATATATATATATACATACATGCACACACACATATATATATATATATATATATATATGTATGTATGTATATATCATAGGAAATGGATTAAATCTGATAAATATTTAGTATATTTTCTGTTTATATGTTAGTTTTATGGAAACACTTATTAGTCAATACTCTGTTTTTTTTAATTAAAC